TAAAAAAGTTCATTCAACACTTTGTGTAAAAAAGTTTCCTTTTTCACCATCAGGTCAAGAATCATTACATTTAAATTGCAATTTACTTCTCCACATTGTACTAATTATAGTTCCGAATATTTCAATTTGACTCTTTTTTTTCACTATTAATTTTCTCATCAACGCCATTAGTGTTGTTGCAGAAAACCTTCAAGGCCTTTCTTGCTCAGATCTTCTCTTCCAATAAACCTGCAAAGCCCCGAGAATAACTCTCGAGGTAGACACTCCGATACTTAAGTCAACAATAGTCTACACTTAGAACTATATTGAGAGAATGGAGTGTATTAGAGAGAAATGTTGAATGAAGAGTCCCGTACCTTTGAGGGGTGTGAGGGTATTTATAAATTCTTTGGGAATGCTGGACATGTGTTGCACTTCTGTTGGTCTCTTTGGATCTATTTGAGTGTATATGAACTCCATAGTAACTTATGCATGTGCTCTTTTGTATTTGGTGCTCTTTTGTATTTGGGCCTCATGGGCCTTCACTATGTTTATGGGCTAGTTATATTACTACCCTTACACTATTCCCCCTCCCGGAGTCATTCACTTGTGAATGATTAATGTGGAAGATGAGTGTAGATGGGGTTAATAGATATAACAATGTATGACATGAAGTTGTGCTTTAGGCTATAGCCGAGGTAAAAATGCATGACACGGAGTCATGTGTTTTGGGCTGTAGTTGAGGTAAAAATGCATGATACTGAGTCATGTGTTAGGGCTGTAGCCTAAGTAAAAATGCATGACATGGAGTCATGTGTTAGGGCCGTAGCTTAAGTAAAAATGCATGACGCAGAGTCATGCATTTTGGGCTGTAGCCGAGGTAAAAATTCATGACTCAATCATTGTGGCTAGAGCCAAAGTAATATAGGTGACGTGTGGTCACTATGGCTGGAACCGAAGTAAAATAGGTGATGCATAGTCACTATGGCGGGAGCCAAAGTAAAATAGGTGACTCGGGGTCACTGTGGCTGGAGCCGAAGTAGAACTGGTGACTCGTGGTCACTATGGCCGTAGCCGAGGTAAAATAGGTGACACGTAGTCACTATGGCCGGAGCCGAAGTAAAATAGGTGACACGTAGTCACTGTGGCCGGAGCCGAAGTAAAATAGGTGACACGTAGTCACTGTGGCCGGAGCCGAAGTAAAATAGGTGACACGTAGTCACTGTGACCAAAGTCAAAGTAAAATAGGTGACACGTAGTCACTGTGGCCGAAGCTAAAGTAAAATAGGTGACTCGAGGTCACTATGGCCGGAGCCAAAGTAGAACTGGTGACTCGTGGTCACTATGGCCGTAGCCGAAGTAAAGATACATGACTCATAGTCATGTGTTATGGTTGTAGCTGAGAATGATGACTTGAAAATAATGACTTGAAAGTGACGATTTGCAACCTCATGAGCCATAATAATGGAAGTCAGACTTTTGAGAGTCATGCTTTATAGAGCTAGGATCGGAACCAGTTTTTGTAGAGTTGATTGAATGCCAATTTTGGTAGTTGGAGATGCCTACCACAGAATCCAACCTTGAGACACCCATAAGAAAATCTTGGTCTTTCGAGTCATAGCATAAAATCAAACCCCTTTGAGGGTTGGGTTTTGCAGAGTTAAGATTGAACTGAGCTTTCATAGAACAAATGAGATGAGAAGCTGATAGTTGATGGACGCAAGCTCTTGTAGATCGAATGGGCTAAAAAAGCCAATAGCTAATGGGCTCAAAGGCCAATAGTATTTTCTGATGAACTGATAAGTTTAAAAGCTGATAATATATTTCTGAGTCTTCCAAGCCAAGGAGTTAACAAACTCTTGAGACCTGTAAAAATTCATTCTAAACATAGAACTTGACAAGATGCCATTAGTTTGTCAATAGTTAATAATACATGAGATACATCAACATTAAAGTGCACAATTATTTGGAATTAAATATAAATGTTTGTGACATGAGTCATCAAAATAAATAATGCTAAAATATGAGTTTCAAAATATATTCAAGCAGCAAGTTAAGCACATGCCAAGTAAAATGTGAAAGTTTATTTTTGTTGCTTATGTAAGTTTATTTCTGTTGCTTATGTATTCCTACTCCCCCTCTCAAAGAGAGATTTATCTCTTTAAGTTAGAACCAATAATAAAGACCACCAGCTCGTGGATACCATTAGCTTGTGGATTATTCCACCATTTACATGAGACTCCACAAATGTATTAACATAAATAAATGTCATTTAAGCCACTCACTTTTAGTTGAAACATGAAGAATATATTATATTCAACATATTTAATAAATAAGGGCTCAGCATATCTTATTGATGAATGACCCATGAGAGGTGGAACACAAGATAGCTAGTGAAATGGCAAGCTGGTTGCAAGCTAGACCTGAGCTCAGCTGTCATAAGGATGAGCTCAAGCAGTTGAGTTCATTCAAGGTTTACCTCATCCAAGGTAGTTGGCCTTGGAAAGGGTTATCATGAAGATGAGCTCAAGCAGTTGAGTTTATCTGAGGTTGTTTACCTCATCCAAATGGGCTGTCATGAAGATGAGCTCAAGCAGTTGAGTTCATCCGAGGTTACTTACACCATCCAAGGGAGTGCACCTCAGAATGGATTGTCATGAGGATGAGCTCAAGCAGTTGAGTTCATCTGAGGTTGCTTACACCATCCAAGGGAGTTCACCTCGGAATGGGTTGTCATAAGGATGAGCTCAAGCAGTTGAGTTCATCCGAGGTTGCTTACACCA